ACGTTACGCCACTATGTGGAACATATTGTGTAACATACTGTGTCGATCATCTAATCGAGTAAAGCCCGCTATGTTTTTGGTGGGCACATAGATGTATCCCTGTATAAATAATGTAAAATTAAATTGATTTAAACTGCCAATCATACGAATGTCTGCCTATGAGCTGTAATATATATATTGTCATTATGTAATTTCCTTTTAATATTCTGACGAATGTAATAGGATAAAAGTTATGCTTACACATATATTATACGTAAAGTTTTTTTACCTTGTAACATAAACTGTATAATCTACGACAATGCATGTTGCCTATATATACTCTACTTGAATCTTTTGTGAACAATTTGGTTCTGCGAAAAAAGCAATAATTTATTGTTTTGAAGAAATATAAATTTCAAAAAAAAAAAGAAAAAAAAAAAATTTCGAAACAAGTCATTTATTAGTTTCCTTATGGTTGAAATCATTTTTCGATAATTTATAATTTTTTACTTTATTTAATTGCTAAAAGTTAAAATCTTCTCCCATATTTTCTATAATAAAACTATTAGTTGGTAATCTCTAAGTTTCATGTAACACCTGTTACTAACATTATATTTTAAAAACTTAAGTGTTCAGGTCCGTATGTATTATAATATAAAATACTACCTTTTTCTACAAATCATTCTTGCTACATTATAACCTCATAGGCTTTGTGTTATTTTTTCAGAGAATCGTAATTTTTGCCCTCAAGTCCAAAACTTGTCAGCGGAAAGTAGAATAATGAAAGGAGAGAAAAACATAAATTTTGTCCTCCAGTCCAAAACTTATCAGTAGGAAGTAGAATAATGAAAAGAAAAAGAAATCCTCAATCTTGTGATTCCTGTCGTAAAGATAAAAAAAGGTGTTCTGGCGGTGAAAACGGTGTAAACTTATGCAATCGTTGCCGCAATATAGGAAAAGATTGCTCTTACTTAGAAGAAATTGGACCTTTAGAAGGTAATTAATACTCATAAATTTCTTTAAGACAAAATTTACTCCTGTGGAAAATGTTTTGTTAAGGCTGCACACAAGTGATGATGTATGGAAGTCAAGATACAAATTTTATGCACAGTATCCATTAGTCTTCCAAATGTTTATATCTAAAGAAACTTTCGCTATTGCTCCCTATGCCTATTAATAATGATCTGATGGGCATTGCTGATGATGAATCACTATTGATGCTCCAAAAAAGGATATGTTGAATATCTACTAATCATTGTTAGTTTTACTTGCTAAATGATCTTTCGGCTGGCAAAGTGTTGACAGTCGACCATTAACGAATAAAAGTCTGAAGCATAGCTCAGTGTAGCATGCTTATCTACAAAAATTCAGATGCGAAACTTATATTAGATTTGCTATCTTTTAACATATACATAGGTCATTGTGAAAATCATCCAGGATTTGAAAATGCAAATGATGATATTTCATATTTACAAAACATTCCTAACGAATTATTACCAAATTATAATATTCTATATCCGCAAGACGGTTTTATTGATTCCGATGGATCATCTGAATATTACGGTTTTGGAAATCTGGCCAACAGTCCTCATAACACTTCACAAACAAACATGGCTCAAGGTATGTAAAAACATTAATTAAATAATACTGATTTCATGGGTTGTAGAATCATTTAGCCATTGTCATTGACAACAATTGAAGTAGCTGGTGGTTAATATTTTTTTCTATTGTGAAATATTAATTAAATTAAATATCATGATTACCATTTTTGATGCTAGAACATTCGAATAACGCACGGCTAATTAAAGAATGTTTAAAGCATGGTATGGTGAATAAAATATCTATTCTTCATTACGTACAATACATTCAAGTATGCCTACTCAATTTAAATATTTTATCAATATCTTAACAATTTATTTATAGGTTCCAAAATTTAACTGATTTAGTTCTATTAGGTAAACCATGTTCTAGTGTTCGAAAGCATAATTTATGAAACAGTATAAGTGGCTATAACTTTGAATACTACATTATTACAGAACACCAATATCCACAATATTTAACATCACCAACATTAAATGGTAAGATTATGTTTTATGATAAGACATATTTATAATAATCCGTTGTGCTTAAATTCTACATATATATATTTATTCCTAAATATAAAACAGAATATCTTAAGAATCTTTTGATGAAGTTACAATCAGAATCCTCTCAAATGGAAAAAATATCTGGAGGGCAAGCCAACAACCTAGAATTATCCCCATTGGACCAATTATCTGGTGAGTAAACTAAAAATTTTGGTGGTCAGCCCTATTATTTTTACAAGCAATAGAGCTTGAAACCGACTTTATTTTTCAAATGTTAAAACCGGTTCTGACATATGAAAAATAACCGGTTCCAACCCTTAATTTAACCCAGCATCGCATAACGGTAACTGAACGGAAAATCTATGGACAGTTCTTAGGGTAGTGTAAATTCACGTGAGCTGTCAGGACGGTTAGAATATAATATGATTTCCATCTTTTTGATACAGTACTAATAATTTATACACGTGCAAATTATCAGTAAAAATAAAAATTTTCAAACCTTTGAGAGGACAATTATCTGACTAAATCCGATGAAAGTTTTATTTTAATTCTATGGAATCATAGAATTCGAATAAAAACGTTTCGTCGAATTTGGTCAGGTGGTTGTTGAGTTATCTTCCTCAAAATCAGAGAAGAATTGTCGCAGCTTCTAACTTGTGAACATTTTGATTTTTCTCTAACTTTTGAGCGAATATATCTCGACAATTACCTGACCAATTTCAATGAAAAATTTTTATTTGAATTCTAATGATTCACGGAATTCGAATAAAAAAATTTTAATCAAATTTGGTCAGGTGGTTGTCGAGATATCTTCGCTCAAAGTAAGAGAAAAATCAAAACGTTTAGCAAATTAGAAGCCGCGCCAATTTTTTCTCTAGCCTTGAGCGAAGATATCTCGACAACCACCTGAACAATTAGATGAAAAGTTTTTTATTCGAATTCTATGAATTCATAGATTTAAAATGAAAAAATTCTTCGAATTTGGTCAGGTGGCTGTCGAGATATCTTTGAGAAAAAAAATGTCTATAACCTTGTCACAACAGATCCTCGATTTTGATTGGCTAACGGCCGAGAATCTTCAAAATTTGGCCCGCATTACATAATTTTTTACTAATCCCGGCCGGGATTAACTTTTTAATTTTTTCTTTACAAAAATAGAAATTTTTAAAAAATAAGCTCGCATTATGATAAAATTGGCCCGGGAACAATTTTTACTTAATAGGCGGCTGCGACTTCATTAGTAAAATTATGGGTATTCCGTTGATCGTCACTCTTAGCCAATCAAAATCGAGAATCTGCCGTGGCAATTTTGTTGCGGCTAATTTTTTCACTAACTTTGATCAATTAATTCATAGAATTAAATAAAAAAATTATCGGATTTTGTCAGTTGGTTGTCGAAATATCATCGCTCAAAGTTTAAAGAGAATTTGATACAGCTTCTATTTTGATAGGCGTTTTGATTTTTCTCTTTGAACAAATATTTCTCGGTAACAATCTGATAAAATTCGATGAAACTTTTTTATTTGAATTCTATAGATTCATAGAATTCGAATAAAGTTTTTATTGAATTTGATCAAGTTTTTATCGAGATATCTTCACTCAAAGTTGGAGAAAAATCAAACCGTTTATCAAATTAGAAGCCACGCCAATTTTTTCTCTAACTTTGAGCGAAGATATCTCGATAATCACCTAACCAAATTCGATGAAAAGTTTTATTTGAATTCTATAAATCATAGGATTCAAATAAAAAAAAAATTTCATTGAATTTGGTCAGATAGTTGTCGAGATATCTTCGCTCAAAGTTTTAAAAAGAATTAGGTACAGCTTCTATTGACATGCGTTTTGATTTTTCTTCGAATTCCATGAATCCATAGAATTAAATAAAAAAAATTACGTCGAATTTAGTCAGATTGTTGTCGCGATATCTTCGCTCAAAGTTTTGAAAGCTTTTATTTTTACTGTTAATTTGCACGTGATATAAATGACAATTAGTATCAAAAATAATAAAATTTTTGTACTGAATAACTGCCTGTAGACTCATAGGAAGACTTTCGTATGATTGGCTGTTTAAATCAATTTAATTTTACATTATTTATACAGTTTAAAGTACTTT